TTTTTTTTTTTTTTTTTGAGACAGAGTCTTGCTCTGTCGCCCAGGCTGGAGTGCAGTGGCGCGATCTGGGCTCACTGCAAGCTCCGCCTCCCGGGTCCACGCCATTCTCCTGCCTCAGCCTCCCGAGTAGCTGGGACTACAGGCACCAACCACAACGTCCGGCTAATTTTTTGCATTTTTAGTAGAGACGGGATTTCACCGAGTTAGCCAGGATGGTCTTGATCTCCTGACCTTGTGATTCGCCTGCCTTGGCCTCCCAAAGTGTTGGGATTACAGGTGTGAGTCACTGAGCCCGGCCGCATTTTTATATTTTATAACAAATCCTAAAATATAACTTTCACTCTTAATGTTAATTTTTTTAACCAGTAAATATTGATGATTGTTTATTCTTTGCCAAATCCAATGATTATTACTGTGGGAATATTAGAACAATAAAATATCAGCCCTGTCCTCAAAGAGATCACAAATTAAATACTCAATATTACTGAACTTGAATCAATTTCAAAATACAATTTCTCTAAGTGATAACTTACATGGTACAGAGTGTAGGTGCTTTAAAAATGTAAATACAAGACATCAGTGTTGGCTGCGGTAGCTCAGATTTCAACTTTTCTGTTTGTTTGTTTGTTTGTTTTAATCCAATCCAAAGTCTTCCTACCTGCTGATGCTTCTGAATTCATACTGCAATCAGCCTTGAATGACCTCTGGTCTATAAAACCAGACACAGTTCAAGTAACAAGAACACAGAATCTCCAGAGCAATATCTACACGGTAACATTCATATCAACTAGAGGTAAGCTTGTATTTAATTTTGCACTTGTAGGAAACAAATGTATATCCTGTGCCACTCTAAAAGTTCTATAAGATGACAGAGAAAAAGACTTAGTTTAATGTCAGCAGAAATTAAATGGTTATTTTTTTCTATGGTAATTTAAATTTTAGTTGTATTTCAAGGAATGTACAACTCCAATGCATGAGAAATGCACTATACATACTACAAATGCATTTTCCATATAATAGCCTACTTTATAAATTAGTAAAAACTAGTGAAAATATTCTTTCTGAAAATAAAATTTAGGCAAACCAATATTGTCCAGGAGACACTCATCTGATCAAATCTTGCCTACTGAAAGGATTTTGTGGTCAAATTCACATGGGAGACACTGTATACCATGGGTCTTCCTTCAAGACTGGCAGAGCTCGTTGGAATATTAAAATCCCTGAGGAGTCCTGCAGTATTAAAAAAAAAAAAAAAAGGAAAAAGAAAAAAGTCAATTCACCTGTGTTTAATGCAAACTTATTTTTTCTCTCCATCTTTTTTTTCAAGTAGTAGCTATTAACTTCCTGTTACTGTTTTACGCAAAACACTTTTGGAAATATTGACACAGACATTCTGCCTTCAAGTCAGACTTCACAACTAACTTGGCTATTTGGTATATTTAGCCCAGAAAGTGGGTCCCTGAATGTGTGTTTATGTGTGTGTGTGTGTTTACTTTTCTTTGGGTAATCATTATTTTTCAATTCATGTAAGTAAAATGTTACTTCAATATTTGTGTCTCATTTTATGAAATTGTTTAGTTTATTTGATTGTTGAGTGGAGGATAAAGAATTTGATTTTACATGAATTTAAGTTTTAAAAAGTGTACGAAAGTTAGATTGTCAAAATACTTATGAATAAACATATGAATATCCTTTCTGATGTATTTTTATATATCAGAGAGAAATTTTAAGACTTCAGCAGACACCTTAAGAAATATGGTACCCAAATCCTAACTGGGCAGATTTTAAGACTTTCCCCAACAAAAAGGGTCAAAAAGATCAGTGAGATTCCACTGGTAGAGCATCCTTTCAAAGAACAGAGACATTTGAGGACAGGCCTTATTCCTCTCGAAGTGGCAAAGTCAATGATTATCATACTAAGTGGCATGGTATGAACAAACCTCACAGGTCAGAGATTGTTTCCTGGAATTCATCTTCGTGCCCTATTCATGTCTAAAGAAAACAGCAGTATTTCAGCTGAGCATTTGCACTAAAATAATGGTACTAGCACAAAACTAAAAGAATTTTTGGAATATCCTACTGCCCATTGATCTTTATCTCACGGTCCTAATACATCAGTCTGTTTATCTTACAATACTTCCTTTTGCATAGAAACAGTGCCTTAAATATATAGCACTTTGTCTGTTTTGCCATTTATGCTATGGATAAATCTGCTCAAATTTAAGGATCTACATCGTCCCCATTCTTCCTTCTTTTGTGATAGTGGAGCACCAAATGAAACCAATTTGGCTACATTTGAGTGTCTATTTAATATATATATATATATATATATATATATATAAAAATATGTATTTGTAGTTTTATATATAGGCATTTTATTAGTTAACTTCTACAAATTCTGTTTGGCACTTAATTTCAGGAGATTTTGATCTGCTTGGTTATGAAGTAGTTGAAGGGAATAACGTCACACTGGATATTACAGAACAAACCAAAGGAAAACCCAACTTGGAGACATTCACACTGAATTGGGATGGGATCGCTTCTAAGCCACTCACTCCATGGTCATCAGAGGCTGAAGTATGCTGTGGGAATGTTTCTACCACGCATTTTCCCTGCACCCTCTCACATCATTCATGGGCCATTTGTAGACAAATGAGAAAGAGATATTACTTGAAAAAAATCACTGCAAACTATTTATCCCCTGATCGACTCACCATAATTTATATACTGTGAACACTTTTATCTGAAAGGAGACTAAGAGTCAACCTAGTGCAGCCACCCCTTTTTCCAAACAAGGCATATATCAAAGGTTCCAAACCCTTGCCCTGCCTATGTGTAGAAGCTCTGAGTCCCTCTAACCACACGGGCATTGTTCTTCACTCAAAACCCAATTTATTATCCTGCAAAATCAGAAATTCCTTGAGAGATGTAGTGCAATAAAAGCTTAGCTATAAAGTGTTGGTTAAATATCCTATTATTTTATGAAACAGAACACCATTTAAATGTCAACCTTTTATAAAGAACACTTTAAGGAGGAGTAATACATTCTTCTATTTGGCGTGATAGGTTGGAGCCTACCCATAGTGAGGAGAGAAGGGAGGAAATATTCCAAAGACAAGAGAAGGAAAGGGGAGTTTTTAGGTCTGTGCCAACAGGGTCTAATGTACCTCTATAGGGGGCAGCTGTTCAAAAAGAAAGAATGCTTGTGAGTTACAACATTTTGACAACTTATCTGGACAATGAATTTAAGTTAACATTTGTTTGCAGATTAAAGAGTATATATTGTCTCAAGCCCTTAATTCTAAGTGACAATTATTTCTGTGCTTTGCTGGAGAAATTGATCTGGAAATTATAGGAGACTTGTGAATATGTGCTAATTTCTGCATAATCTTCAATAATTTATTATTTTTGAATAATTATAAATACAAGCTTACAGCATTTGCATCTAATCTTTTTTGAGACAGAATCTCGCTTTGTCACCAGGCTGGAATGCAGTGGTGTGATCTCCACTCACTGCAACCCTCCGCCTCCCAGGTTCAAGTGATTCTCCTGCCTCAGCCTCCTGAGTAGCTGGGACTACAGGCGTGCGCCACCATGCCCAGCTAATTTTTGTATTTTTAAAAGAGACAGGGTTCCACCATGTTGGCCAGAATCTATTGGAGTGTATCTTTTTTTTTTTTTTCCCAGTTACTTTTGAGTTAGTTGGAAAAATTATTTATTTGGAATCTATCTAATTGGGTACTAATTAATTTAGGTTTGCTTCATTGCTCTCTTTAAAAAGCTACTAAACAAATATGTCTGCCTTATGTAATAACTAAGTATGGCTAATATTAGCCAATTCTATGTAACTATTGTTATTCTAGAATAAAAGTTTTGAAAACTCATTGGCCACTAAAATTATCACTCTTAAAATTATTTAGAAAGTTAACTCATAATCATGACTAAAGTATGGGAATTACGAAAATGTTCTATTAGAACTAATTAGTAGAATCAGGAGTAGGATTACTAGTGTTCTAACTTTTCATGAAAAGAAGTTACTAATGTTTATATTGTTAATTTAGTTTCAGGGAGCAGTGGAAGAAATGGTTAGCAGTAAGTGTCCACCACAAATTGCAAATTTTGAAGAAGGATTTGTTGTGAAATACTTCAGAGACTATGAAACTGATTTTAATCTGGTAGGAAATATTTAATAAACTGTGAAACTAACCAAATGATAATTTATATAATGGTTTGAAATTTTATAATTTCTTTTTTGAAGTAGCATTAATAACTTAGTCATTCACAATCAAATTGCAAAAATGACTTTGTTATACATTTATTGTAAGGGCTGTTGGTAGGTGCTATTGGTAGTGCCTTCTATGATTCGTTTGTCAAAAAATTTTTACTACTCATGAATTTTCTTACTAGAAAGTAGGAAAGCTGAGCAAAGGTAAGATTTGTAGTGTTTTTGTTTATTTTGTGTATTAGGCCATTGTTGCATTGCTATAAAGAAATACCTAAGACTGGGTAATTTAGAAAGAAAAGAGATTTAATTGGCTCACAGTTCTGTAGACTGTATAGGAAGCATGATGCTGGCATCTGCTCAGCTTCTTGGAAGGCCTTGGGAAACTCTCAATCATGGTGAAGGTAAAGGGGGAACAGGCACGTGAATTGGCTTGGTCAAAGGCAAGAGAAAAGAGTGGGGCGGTGCCACACACTTTTAAACAACCAGACCTTGTGAGAACTCACTCAGTGTCATGAGAACAGCACAGATGGGATGGTGCTAAGCCATTCATGAGAAATCCACACCCATGGTCAAGTCAACTACAAACAGACCCCACCTCAAGCTTTGGGGATTACACTTCAACATGCAATTTGGTGGGGACACAGATCCAAATCATGTCATTTTGCTTGTGTTTTCTTTTTCTTTTCTGTCTTTTTTTTTTTTTTTTTTTTTTTTGAGATTGAGTCTCACTCTATCACCAGGTTGGAGTGTGTTGGTGCAATCTCGGCTCACTGCAACGTCTGCCTCCCGAGTTCAAGCAGTTCTCCTTCCTCAGTCTTCCAAGTAGCTGGGACTACAAGCACCTGCCACCACGCCTGGTTAATTTTTGTATTTTTAGTAGAGATGGGTTTTCACCATGTTGGCCAGGATGGTCTTGACCTCTTGACTCCGTGATCCAGCCGCCTCGGCCTCCCAAAGTGCTGGGATTGCAGGCATGAGCCACCGTGCCCAGCCTTGGTTTATGTTTTCTTAACATGGATGCACAGTATATCCTTTCTTCTCATTGACTTCAGAGATTATAATATATGGTGGGGCATTATATGTTTTTATGTATTATGTAGTTTTATATAATTGCTTCTCTTGCTTTTTGACATAACACTCTGGTTAATTAGTACACGGCCCAGTCATTATTTCCTTCTGAATGAGATATTTTCTTTAATATAGAGTAAAGGAAGAAAATTGAATATGTGCTTTCTAATTCTTATTTTCAAGTCTTCAGGAAGTCAGCTATTTGCTATTTCCAAGTGAAAACTGTAAGAATAAAAAATGTATACTCCAGTTATTTAATTCAGATCAATACCCTGGATATAAATATAAATCCTTAAAAATATCTCTCATGATACTTTTCATGAGCAGATTAGTGAGATAAAATCTTTCCATTTAATAGATGACCTTTTTAGCTTCGTTTAATAAACATATGTGTATTTATGTTCTATTTTGAATGTAGTACTAGCAGCCATGAGGATGGCACCTGTAATTTACCTTTTACTCCTTACCTACTTCATCTCTCATCATTACCCTCACGTGCATTTCCATGCTGCATCTAACCTTAACAGTTTGCGTTCCCAGCACCATGCTCTCTCACGCCTCTGCTTTTTTGTACAATTTTGGCCTGTCTCTGAAGCCCCTACTTTCTTTTTACCATTTGCACAGTGCCTTTGACACCTTTTTTTCCATTCCAACAACTGCTATTTATCTTTAAAGACTTAACTCATTGTCACTTCCCCTGATCATCTTTCTTGATGCTTTTATGTGAGTTAGATGCCTCCCTTGAGCCTTAGTTTGATCATCATTGGCTTCTTTGTCTTAGACGGATGGTCTCTATTTACAGGGATGGGGTTCTTCACCACTTGAATCCTAAAGATTAAATAGCAAACACACAAACAAGCAGAAACCTGACACACAGTAAACACTGCATAAACACTCATGGAAAGAATGAATAAATACCCGTAAAGAGCTCATAATGTAAGGAAAAAAGTCGAACTTGGGAACTAGTCAAATACTGGTATAAGGGATTATATAATTATGGATCCAAATGAGAACTTTAGATTTCAGACAAGGAAGAAAACATCTCAAGTTAAAGTAATCGGGGAAACAATGGTATCTGGGTTAAACCTTGAATGGTGTGGGTGCATACATTGGGGGAAAACCAGAACAATAAATCATGTTTTCATTTGAAATATTATTGTTTCGGTAGGAACATATTAACAGAGGGCAGAAGACAGCTGAAACTGATGCTTACTGTGGTCGTTATTCCCTGAAAAACCCAGCTGTCCTTTTTGACTCAGCAGATGTTAAACCAAACAGACGACCATATGGGGACATTTTATTGTTTCCTTATAATCAGGTAAGCTCAACAAAATGATATGCTAATTGAATCTGGAACATACCTTGGTAATAAAATTTCATGAAATTTTAAGACAAACAAAAATGCTTGCCATATGAATAGTATGTCATATTGTAACAGGCACTGTAGTGTAAATTCTGGGTGCTTGTGGTTTCTTCTGAGGATTTTCAAAATAATAAATGTATACTATATATATATGTTTATAGCACCACATATCATGTATTATATTTCTCTTTTAATTCAGAAAAAATTATTTGCACACAAGTTTAAATACCAAAATAATTAAAAATGTATAAGCTTCTTCATTTTTATTCATTAATTGAGAAGAAAGAAAAATGGCTAGCCATCGTAGGGTGATCTTGGGTATCCGGTCAGAGAGAAGTGAAACCAAATTAGGAGCACAGGAGATGGCAGTTTTAATGAGGGCATTTGACACTGTTAATCATAGATTCACCCTTTCTCTTATTTTAAAATTCTCAAATTGTGGCATCTATCCTAAAATTCAAAGTTCTTAATATATTTGGCATGCTTAAGGACTTGGGGATCATTAAAATTGGTATTTAATTACTATTTTACAGTGACACTGATCTCTATCTCTAAATGTTCAACGATATTTACATCCCATTTAATTTGCCTGGATGTTTACCTCTCTTCTTTCCTATGTGCATTGGACTTTTAAATTTGCTGAGTAGCTTAGAGTTAGTACATAACTCATCTCCACAGAGAGTGAATTGTTTGCAGTTTTAAAGGACACTATGCCTAAAAATAATAGATAATTATTATTAATTGTAAGGTCACCTCAACATCACTTTGTCTATAAAATCTTTTCCAATTCTTCCGCAGCTAACTGGCTGAAATTAATCATTTCTTTCTCTGTGTTCTGGTACATTTTATGTAGAAAATGCCCAATAAATATTTATTGACTTTGAATTTATTTGAATTGTTACAAAACAATGTAATGGTAACATATTGTTACCAATGATTTTCATATTTTTATGTAGTTATGTTTAGCATACAAAGGATTCCTGGCAAATTATATTGGTCTAAAATTCCAGTACCAAGACAATAGCAAGATTACTAGAAACACCGATATACAATTTACATACGACTTTGCTCATGGAAACAAGTAAGTTACGCTATGAATTTGAAAATTAAGTTATACCATGGTATATACACTACAAAGATAAGACAAATCCATTTCTTGGGGTTTTACGTTTTTGTTTTGGTCTGTTTGGGGAGATGATGGCAAATCACATGCACAATGGATGTAACTGTAGTTTTCCTATTCTACACATGAACATCCAACAGAAATAGTCGTGTTTTAAAGAAATCTATAGATTATGAAAATAACAACTGGTCATGTCATAATCACCCATAACCATAAAAAGACAAAACAATGGTAAACTTTAGAATTTAAATTATATATTACTAAATCTAACAATGTCCCTAGTTGTTGCTGGAAGGTAGAGACAGACTTATCACAATATAGTTGTTATAGTTTGATCACTGAAAAAAAAGGGAATAGAGATATTTTGAAATAATGCTTGCTATACCAAAAATTAGACACATAGAAATGCAAATAGAGAAACATAAAGGAAGAAACAAAATGAACCTAGAGAAAGCTATTTAATGACTACAACTGTCATGCCCTTAAACACAATTTAGTTCTATATAATTATTTTGGGGGTTTTATTAATTTTTATGTCTTCTGAAATTTATGTCAGTTGTGACTGCATTTTCATACATGGTACATGCAAAAATTTCATTTACAATAGAAGTAATAATGAAGACATACACAGAGACACACAGCTTTCTATTTTATAAAGTACTCCCCATAAATTGTTGTTGTTTATTAAAGTATAATGTACATAAAGTAAAATTCACTCTTTTTAAGTGCACAATTTAGTGAGTTTTAACATGTGTATATGGCCATGTAACCATTACTCCACTGAAGACATAGAACATTTCCTCTCTACAATTTTTGAAGTTTATTTTCATATAAAATTTATCTCATAAAAATAACCATAATAGGATCTCCATATCTTGAAAAGATTTCTTTTTTTATTTGCTTTTTTTCTGTTACAGCTACATCACAATCTTTATTTTATATGGGTCTATATAGAGTTTATATGATACTTTAATACATGTCATGTAAGTTTCCATCATTTTATAAGATATGGAGAACATTATTCTATTATAATAAGATATGAAGAGCACTATTTTTCTTCCCATCATAGAATAGAACTCTGTAACTCAGAACTGCCATGTGTGGAACAAGTGTGAGGGAGAACCAGCGTCTCCTCATGACACCCAGACAGAGGGAGTGAGAAAATCATCCAAAGTTGGAAATAGAACCAAATGTTTACCATAAATAAGACAAAGACAATAAATAAAAACAGGCAAGATGTTAATGGAGAGTCGAGTAGTTAGATAGGAAGAAACAGCAGTCTTGATGGGGGAATGTTTCTTGATGCAAAAGCTGCTCCTCAAATCTGCAATTTCAATTGTCCTGTTTTCTACATAATCCTAACACTATTTTTTTTTTTTTTGAGGCAGGGTCTGGTTCTGTCACCCTGGCTGGAGTACTGTGGGACCATCACAACTCATTGCAGCCTTCATCTTCTGGACTCAAGTGATCCTCCCACACCAGCCTCCCTCTCAAGTAGCTGGGACTACAGGTGTGCACCACCACACCCAGCTAATTTTTGGTTTTTGTAGAGAGTGGATCTTGCCATGTTGCCACAGCTGGTCTTGAACTCCTAGGCTCAAGCAATCTTCCTGCCTAGGCCTCCCAAAGTGCTGGGATTACAGGCATGAGACACCATGCCTGGCCCCCAACACTATTTTCAAAATGCATCAACCAGTTCCCAATTCATAACTTTAGAAATTCATGTACTCTAAAAATTGCTGACATATGTTGGACTGGAAGGGAAACCTTGTTTGTTAAAGGTTTTAAAAACTATATCTTAGAGGATAAGATGTGTAAAGTGGGAGACAGCCAGGGCGAAGACCTGGAGGTGCTCCAGCAAAGCTAGGTCCCCAGACTCTATCAGGAGGAAATCAGTTGTGTTCACTGGGACAGTGGCAGAAAAGTGACAAAGATGGGACCAGGCAGGTGGGTGGGAGCATATCAGTGTTATCTTTCCTGTGGAACTGGAATGACCTTATGTTAAAAAAAAAAAAGGAGGGGGCTGGGCAACATGGCAAAACCCCATCTCTACAAAAAATACAAAAATTAGCTGTACGTGGTGGTGCACACCTGTGGTCCCAGGTACTCAGGAGGCTGCAGTGGAGGATTGCTGGAGTCTGGGAGATCCAGGCTGCAGTAAGCCAAGATTGTGCCACTGCCCTCCAGCCTGGGTGACAGAATGAGACCTTGTCTTGAAAAAAAAAAAAAAAGAAAAAAGGGGTGTGTGTGTGTGTGTGTGTGTGTGTGTGTGTAGGAAGTCATAGTCTTTCGTTTTTAATATAAAACATCAGCATAATATTTGAAGTATGTATCTCTGGCATCAGATCCTGAGCATATGAACCTAATTCCCTTCAGATACTCTGGTCAATCAATGGATAAAGTGATGGCATCTGTAGACCAAGCTTAACTACAGGTGTCAGTATCTCTTTAATCATGAGGTAGGAATCTATAGTACAACAGGTGTTTGTCAGAGGGAAAAACTTTAATAAGGGCATTAAGATTTTCAAAAAATTCTTCAGGAAACACAAAAGCCCTGCTTCATATATTCCTTAGGTTCTTGAAATAAGCATCAATAAGATGATGATTGATGTCTTGTCCCAAGTATAATATCTACACATGTTTCCATAGAATGTAAAGAAAGAAAAATTCTTGTTTACATAAAGTTCATTAGATACTGAAGTTTGATAGAACTTGAAGTGGACTTCAAAGAAGAGAGAGAGAATAATGCCTGAAATCTATACATGCTATACATGATGTTTGCACAGAACCATATGATTTTAATAATAATTAACAATATTAATTTTAACAATATTAATTTTAACAATATTAATTCTTCCAATCCATGAGAGGAATTATTGACTCAGAAGAGGACATCCTTTGTTGGCACTAACATAGGCAGATGCAATGCCAGGATTTGAGCCAGCCCTGCCTCTGTTGCCAGGGTTGGAGTGCAATGGTGTGATCTTGGCTCACTGCAACCTCCACCTTCCAGGTTCAAGCAATTCTCCTGCCTCAACCTCCTGAGTAGCTGGGATTACAGGCGTGTGCCACCACACCTAGCTAATTTTTTGTATTTTTAGTTAGAGACAGGGTTTCACCATGTTGGTCTCGAACTCCTGACCTCGTGATCCACCCAGCTTGGCCTCCCAAAGGGCTAGGATTACAGGCATGAGCCACCACATCCAGCCTCTAACAAATATTTCTAGATCTGCTTTAATATAGGTCAGACAGTCCACCTGGATCAAGTAGATGTATTAGTATTTGTTGTTTTCAGTACACTGTTGGTGTTAAAAGTGCCATTTCCCACCTCCCAAAATTGTTCTACAACCTTCCAAAAAGTGGTTTGTTGTACATCAAGTTTTAAAATCTAAAAACAGTCTGCCTTTCTCTTCAAAAAAATGGAATTATCTAATCACAAAGGCACAGTGTGCAGTTCAGTTTTGATATCATTTGCAGTCTCCTTTTCCCTTATAAAAGGTCCTGTTCAGTATGCCAAATTTTCTAAGTTGTGGTTTTAAAAATTTTAGAATTGTATCGTTAGTTGTACAATTCTACTTTGAGGCCCTAAATACTTTTTTAATTTAAAGAGCACTTTAACTTAATGTCATCTGCATACAACTTTCTAAAACTGATATGTGTAGTCTAATCTTTGATGAGCTAGAGGTGGATCCCATGATGAGTTTATGAACCCTGAAGAAAATGGGACTATAAGGTGCCCAAACAAACTAGTCAGTAACAACTACAGTGGTAGCTGATGAAAGATTATTGTTAAACTATATTTAATTATTTGAATGGAAATATTTATATCCGTGTTACAGACTTTTACAGCTTTAATGCTTAACTGTAATTTATGAGATTCCAATGCAGTTACGATTTAATGAAAAATCTGAATCTGAGTTTTACATTTAAAAGATACTGTGCAACCATTTATATCTACAAATAATACCCGTCTAGCACTTAGAACAATGAACAGTGCTACTCCAGGGAACTTTCCTGGAAGTGTTATCAAGTTCCAGTTTTGCTTCTTAGCAGTGGACGGAACTTACTGTTCTATGCCTGGTATTGTTCACTAAAATTGTTGACTCCATTCTTGTGTCTTGTTTTGTCAATGTGCTCTACACCAATGCCTGTGCTTCTTAGTTTCCTTACTTGTTGTTACACAATGTTATTTTACATTCCTATGGCTACTGACAAGGCTACAAATAAAAGAAAGCCTATATTTGTATACAATGCTCAATCTTTTACTGCCACTGTAAGTTTCTGCCTGCTGTGCCTTGTTATGGCTGCTTGTCTGCGCTAATAAAGCTCCCTTGATGGTCTTCTTGTGGGGAAAAAAATATTTTACTCTATAAAATTTTAATGCTTTTTAAAGTATATTTGCTTAAACATTACCACTGATCTATACAACAAATTAATCAACCATATTTCAGCTGGACTTACACTTGCATAGACATTCTGGATCTCATAAGAACAAAGTACACTGGGACAAATGTTTCTCTTCAAAGGATTAGTTTACAGAAAGCATCAGAATCACAATCCTTCTATGTGGATGTAGTGTACATTGGACAAACAGCTACAATCTCAACATTGGATGGTATGTTGTATCATTTTATCTCTACCGTAATCTAAATATAGTAAAATCTTACCAAGGAAATTAATTTTATATTCTGTAGTATGGATAGAAACATTAATCTCTAAATATTAGTGAGTCATTCTTTTATCTCAATAATATTATGATTTTATTTTGTAATGAATAGTGCAAGGTGGTTATTCCAAGGATAAACGAATCCTTAATGAAAACTTTCTCACAATAGCAAGAATTTGCTTTCTAGTCCAGGATTTTGTTTATGGATAAATATACTATGTCAAACATTTTCATTTTGCTTTTTTTTATTTTTGAGAAACCAACTACCACGAGAGAGATCTATTCCCAAAATGCAACTATTGAGATTGACATCTGTCTACTAAGATTGACTTGAAACTTTCCACAGACTTAAGAGTGATAATTAATAATACTACAAATGAAACCTTCATTTCAATGGTGTTAGCATTGTGTTTCTAGTCATGTTAATAGACATGACATTTGTTAGATGCAATAATAATAAAAATTAAACTCTACCATCTTTTAAAAAATTAACCTAACTCCAGTCACCTTAAAAGTGACTTTCCCATTTTTGAGAGGAACATTAGAATCCTTTTCTTTGGAATTTCTTTCAAGTGCAAGGCGGTGAGTTAACTGATTTTTTTTAAAAATGTAAATGCTACTACTTTATTGTCACTCCTTTTGAATCTGCTGTCACCAGACCTACATTATGATTGGTAGAAAATGTATAAGACAGATGGATTGTGCTGGGATAAATGTTGTCGTTCATTAAACAATATTCACTTAGCACCTACTATGTGTCAGGTATTGTATCAAGTACTAAAAAACAGCAATGAAGAAGACAGTCCTTGTCCTGCTCTCATGAAGCACACATCCTAGTGAGCACCACCTAGAACAGAACAAAGCTAGCTACCCAAAGAAGGCTGGAGGAAACCCAGGGATTGGTCGCTTTTAAATGTTTGGTTTTTATTTGATAGGGTTCATATGTCAAAAGACATAAACTTTACAATATAAAACTGAAAGTTCAGAAAGCTTCACAAACTACTTGCCTTCAGGTCTTCTTTCTAATATTTGATTTTAAATACTTTATGTCATGACAATATTGTTATTATTTGATGACTTTATTTTTAGCAACAGAAGCAATACAATTTTATCTCCTCTCTATTAGGTTGACTTTTAAATGGCAAAAACCACAATTACATTTACACCAACCTAATATTTTTATTTATATTCTTTAGAAATGCCCAAGAGAAGACTTCCTGCATTAGCAAATAAAGGAATATTCTTAGAGCACTTTCAGGTGAATCGGACCAAAACAAATGGGCCAACTATGACAATCCAATATTCTGTCACCATGACTTCATACAACTGCAGTTACAATATACCCATGATGGCTGTGAGCTTTGGGCAGGTAAGCCTAGAATTTTGCATTACTTTTTATGTAGTGAATTTTATTTTTAATTTTTTTAAATAGCCAACATACAGATGGAATATCTTTTAATAGGAAAAGACAACTAACTATTCTAAGGTTATATGAAGATTTGGAACATGAAGATGGACTTTAAGTATTTAAAAAATTCTTTAAGAAATATGTCAATGGAATGGAAAACAGGAAAAAATATCCTTAAAAAACAAAGTCAGATTTAAGTAGAGTTTTCTCTGTGGACTTAAAAGAAGAAGTTATGGTCTCTTCCAACAAAGTTCCTTAAACAGATATTATTGAAAGGAAAGTTGAGATTCTGCATTATGCTTTTAAATTGTTTTCTGTTATAAACACCATTTATTTTTGCTTGTATGAAAATTTATACAAGGGAAGAAAGAAGTGGTTTTTCATAATTCCAGAAGGACCTGAACAATTCTTTACATTTATAATAAATAATATTAAATATTACAATATGAAAAATTTAAAATTTTAATTTCTATAAAAATATTCAATGAGTTAATATAATTTCCTACCACAAACCAAAAACAAGTATAAGCTCAAGATTAAAGATTAAATAATCATTAACCATTGTAATTGGATTACAGCCTCGCAGAAAACTTTTTGCAAAGTAAACAATTTTATGATTGAAATCACTGAAAAATTATAAAAACTCCAAAACAGTTGCCTTTATCCCATCCTGGACCAATGATTTACTCTTAATATCTTCAAGATTAGCATCTAAGCTTTCCAGTGCTTTACTCTTAGCTCTATTAGAAAATATAATAACTAATTTAGGGCTTTGTAGTCTCAAAGCATCTGTGTCAAAATTCTCCCATTTTTCAAGATTTCTCAGTAAACTAATTGGTAATTGTAACCTCTATCTTTAAGTATTCATCAAAGGTTACATTGAAGAATAAGGGACTTAGATTTTTGTGGCCTTTTAAGAAAATTCAAGTGACAGGTACATATAATAATATGTGCATATGTTAAATGTATAGATCAATAAATTGTTTTAAGAACTTTAACTTTGACATACTTGTAGATTCACATGCACTTGTAAGAAATAACACAGAACTATTTTTAATATCCTTTACCAATTTTCCCCCAATGATAACTTTTTGTATAATATAGCACAATATCATAACCAGGAAATTGACCTGATAAAATCCACTGACGTTATTCAGATTTTTCCAGGAGTGTGTGTGTGTGTGTGTGTGTGTGTGTGTTTGTGTAGTTCTTATACAATTTTATCACAGGTGTAGATTCATCTGACCACCACCAGAACAGTTCTATTACGAGCATCTCTTGTGCTACCTTTTTGTAGCCATGCTGTCACAGCCACCTCCCTCATTCCCTTCCTCCTGCACTCACTTATATATGGCAACTACAAATTCATTCTCTCAATAATTTTGTCATTTCAAGAATGCTACAAAAATGAAATCAGATGTCATATAATCATACAAATATATAGCTTTTGGATACTGGCTTTTTTTTACTCAGCATAATTCCCTTGAGATCATTCAAATTGTGTTTATTAATTTATTCATTTTGATTGCTGAGTGTATTTACTGTTATGGATGTACCAGTTTGTTTACTCACCCGTTGAAGGCCATTTGAGTTGTTTCTTGGTTTTGGCTATTATGAATTAAACTGCTATGAACATTCATCTATAGGCTTTTGTGAGACATAAGTTTCCATTTTTTTCTGGGTTAAATTCCCAACAGTGCAATTATAGGGTTGTATGATAAGAATGTGCATAGTTTCTAAAGAAACTACCATACTTTTTTATGAAGTGGTTGTACCATTTTAGATTCCCACCAGCAGTGTATGATCCAGTTTCTGCACAATCTTGCCAGTGTTTGGTGATGTCACTATTTTTAATTTTAGGCATTCTGGTAGGGTGTGTAGTGATGGCTCATTTTCATTTTAATTAATATTCCCTAATGACTAATGATGTTGAACATCTTTTTATGAACTTATTTGCCACCTACATATCTTCTACTGTGAAATGTCTAGGTGTAATTCTTTTGTCAGATATGTGGTTTGCAAATATTTTCTCCCAGACTGTACCTCGCCTTTTCATCTTCTTCATAAGGTCTTTGACAGAACAAAGTTTGAAAAGTTTTATGAGGCCAAATTTCTCATTTGTTTTTTCTTTTTTGAATGGTACTTTTGGTTTCAAGTCTAAGAACTTACTTAGCTCTAGGTCCTGAGGATTTTTCTATTTTTGTCTAAAAATTCTACAGGTTTACATTTTATATTTAAGGGCATGATCCATTTTATGTTAATTTTTATTTATAAGATGTGATTTTTGGTTGAAGTTCATTTGTTTGCCTATGCCTTCAATTGTTTCAGCACCGTTTATTGAAAAGGCGATCTTTCTTCCATTTAATTACATTGGAACCTTTGTCAAAAATCATATTTGTGTGGGTGTATTTCCGAGTTTTCAATTCTTTCCATTGGTCTATATGTCAGTCCTTCCACCAACACCATACATTCTTGACTATTGTATCTGAATAGTTAGGCTTAACATTGAGTAGTGTGATTCTTCTCACTTTATTTTTCTTGTGCAAAATTGTTTTAGCTATTCGAGGTCCTGTGCCTTCCCATATAAATTTTAGAATAAGATTATTTATGTCTACAAAAAAACCTTGCTGGTATTTTGACAATAATTACATTAAATCTATAGACTGTTTTGGAAAGAATTGACACCATTGTGATATCGAGTTTTCCAATCCATGAACACAGTATGTCTCTCCATTTATTTGTCTTCTTTGTGCTTCACTAGCATATTTAGGTCTTCATTTATTGCATTTATCAGCATTTTGCAATTTTCAGTTCAGGTCTAGTACATATTTTGTGAGATTTATATACGTGTTTCATTTTCTTCAAGCAGTTGTAAATGGTCTTGTGTTTTTAAATTCGATTTCCATATGCTCATTATTTGTGTATAGAAATGTAACTGATTTTTGTGTGTTTATCTTGTATCTTATAACCTTGCTGAATTCAACACATTTTTACAAAGTAGATACACTCATGTAATCACACCCAGATCAAGATAATCATTAGCTCCCCAAGTACATTCCTTGAACCTCTCTTCTTTCTTAAACTCACTCCTCATCCCAATAACCACTCTTTTGACATCTACTACCATTAATTATTTTCGATTGTTCTTAAACTTCATATCAATAGAATCATACAGTGTGTACTGCTTTGAATCCAGCTTCTTTCATTTAATTTTGTGAGATTCACACTGCATATACTGTAGTTTCATTCTCTTTGGTTGCTGTACATTTTTCCATAGTATAAGTATACCATAATTTATCCATTCTATTGAACAACTTTTGCATTTTTTCCAGCTTGGGACTATTATGAATATAGCTGCTAGGAACATTCTTGCTTATATCTTTTAGCACTAATGTTTATTCATTCTTTGGGCTAGAAGGCTTATCGTTTTAAATTTTACAGTAGTAACAGATAACTATAAGGGATCAAACACAGGGGAATATAATTTTCACTATTAGGGTTACAATCTGTGAATTTCTATAGCATGTGCTGCTTTTGTCAATTGATGAGCACTGAACATTGCGCAAGTATTTTTGTTAGCCTGGGTCAGCCACTGTATAGATCATAAACTTTCTTAAATTGTTGGTTAACTTTTCAAGACTCCATGTAGTATTTTTTGAAAAAATTGTTTTAGTTTTTTAATAGCCAGGACCACATCTCATGCTCCTTTGCCTCTCTGCCGTGATTAGCACTGTACCTTGAACAGAGTGCCTGCTCAATAAATATTTGTTCCTTGAGTGATGGAGGGTGCATTCTGAATTAATGAGGTATTACTGCAGTTCCAGCTGATTGCTGCACAGATGACTGAGTTGACTTTGGCCTCATTATTGCAGCTGTATAGGTATGGCCTGTGTTGATTTATGTGACACTCCTTAATGTTCTGAAGAATCCTGAATACATGAGGCTCATTTATGTCATGTCACAGGATTGTACCATGATTGAATAGAAATCATGTAAGCCATTCTTAAGTTTAATCATTTTATCAATATTTATTTTGGAAATTAGATAATCACACATGAGACAGAGAACGAGTGTGTCTACAGAGGAAATAATTGGCCAGGCGAGTCAAAAATTCATATTCAAAGAATTCAAGCTGCATCTCCACCTCTAAGTGGCAGCTTTGACATTCAAGCTTATGGACATACTCTCAAAGGTATATGAAAAAAGTTTAAAATATTGGTGTATACACACACATATATGTATAATGTTATAAAGTGTTAAATGTTGTTTCACTTGAGAATTACTACTTATTGATACGTGCAAATACATTAATTATTTATTTGAGACATAAGTAAATATGTGATATATTAAAGTGACACACGCATATATATTAATATATGCCATATAAGGGTCAATTAATAGCCAATCACAATGTTGTTTCAAATCCTTCTTTTTAATAGATTAGGAAATATTCACCCATCCAAAACTAACATCATTTATTTTGATTGTTTTCATTTACAAATAATATTTTTAAAAGTCTGCAAAATTTTATAACAATTTTTATAGCCGTTTTTTAAAGGCAGTTGAAATTATCACTTTCATAAGTCAAAACTTTCTCTAATACATGCATTTAAAAAAATAAGCATTTATTACTTACTGTGATAGCCACAAACAATAACAATAATATTAAAATATAAAAATTGAGAATTGGAATATGATTTTAAAAGACATCTATAATTTAATTATCTAAGTCTGTACTAATCAGTATGATAGCCATGAGTCATATGTGGCTACTGAGCACTTAAAATGTGACTAGTGTCACATGTCAAAATATAACATTTGAATATAAGAGATTATATGCAATTTATTACTATTAAAATATTTTACCTGGTTTTGTTTTCTTTCTAAAATATAGCTACCAGAAAGCATACAATTATATATGTGGTTCACATTATTTATCAGCTGGACAGGGCTAACCTAGACAACTATAATAAACATTTTGGCATACTCCTTTTTAGTAGTATTTCTCTTATAATTTACATAATTGAGAGTATGTCAGTAACATGAAGCTAAACTATTCAGGGCAAATGACATTTTTATGTTTTCGTCACTGCTTTATCCATTATACCAGTGACATTCTCAAATGTTTGTTTCTCTTTTATATTCATGACCTACAGGTTATCCGTATTTTCAAAGACATACAAATTAATATTGTTATTAATTTAATCAAAATCGATTTTTATATTAAAAGATCATTTTAACACTCAACATCTCTGACATTAAAATGATTTTATTTTTAATATCAAAATGAATTGATATGAAAACATCAACTGATATTTGATATTTGTGAATTGATATTAAAAATATTCAATCCAAGGCCAGAGTTTGAGGTACATTACTCATGTAATTTTTAAAAATAATTGTCTATTATTATTTTGAAATGTATAAAATTGTTTATATTTTATTTCCAGGAAATATATAAATTCTTGGCATAAGTAGAATGCAAATTTTATTTTTACTATATTGGAAGGGGACATAGAGTCTACAAGTGATAATACATAGTACACATTTCATGTACTTTAAAGATGAAATTGGTTTGTGAATTTATTTTATTTTATTACTATTATTTTTTTGAGATGGAGTCTCACTGTTACCAAGGCTGGAGTGCAGTGGCATGATCCTGGACACTACAACCTCCGCTTCCTGGGTTCAAGGGATTCTCCTGCCTCAGCCTGCAGAGTAGCTGGGATTATAGGCATGCACCACCATGCCCAGTTAATTTTTGTATTTTCAGTAAAGACGAGGTTTTACCATGTTGGCCAGGCTGGTCTCAAACTCCTGACCTCAGGTGACCCGCCCGCCTCGACCTCCCAAATTGCTGAGATTACAGGCGTGAGCCACCACATCTGGCCAGTTTGTGAATTGTGACTTCTGCTGTTTGCCACCCCTCTGTGAGTGCAGGCCTTCCCGCTGCTGTGTCAGCTGCAGATCTGCAGTTTGTGCTCCAGAGTCTGGAGGGATTGGGAAGAGTCTCAGTTACACGAGAGGGAACCTGTGCTGGCTACGCATGGAACATCAAGTGGAGAAGCACCTGTGGAAAGCAGAATCTTCTACAGGTTCCCTCATTTAGCCTGGCTTCTTTTTTCTTCTATGTGCTGTTTGCTTATTTGGACCCTGTTTTATTCCAAAAAGAACTAGAGGCTATGTATATTATAAAAATGCAAACCATAAACTAAAATTTCTTTAAAAGGAAATTAAGGAGAAGGTTTTTTCTAAATTAAGTTGACCCAGTGTTATCTTTCATGGAGAATGGCTGTTGGTACTTTACTCCATATCCCATTTAGAAAAAAGTCCAGGAATGTGTGTGTTAGAATCCCTTTGACAGGGGCAGGTGGCGCACAGTCAGGGCCGGTCTCAGAACTAAACCAAACTGAATCCAGATGTATGCTAAGGGGGTCCCAGAGAGAATCAGCCACACTATCATTCTACCACGAGAGCTGTATTTTGGGGCCTTGGATACTTCTGTGGTTATAAAGATGATCTTTCCAAGTTCATAAAAGAGTAACGCCTTAGGCTGTCATCTAATTACCTTTCTTTAGTTAGAGGGAGGAAGAGAATGGGGGAAAGGAGTCAGGCCCAGAGTATGTGAAGGAGAGGAGTCTAGGGACTCAGATTGTCAAACACTAAAAAGGTGATGCTTTCAGCCAAGCACAGTGGCTCATGCCTGTAATCCCAGCATTTTGGGAGGCTGAGGCAGGTGGATCACAGGAGTTTGAGATGAGCCTGACCAACATGGTAAAATCCTGTTTCTACTAAAAATACAAAATTAGCTGGATGTGGCAGTACACGCCTGTAATCTCAGCTGCTTGGGAGGCTGAGGCAGGAGAATCGCTTGAACCCGGGAAGCGGAGATTGCAGTGAGCCGAGATTGTGCCACTGCCATTGCACTCCAGCCTGGGCAACAAGAGCAAAACTCAGTCTCAAAAAAAAAAAAAAAAATGCTTTCTAGTGATGATGAGAATGCAAGGAAATAGTTTCTTCTATGCAATGTTGGTGAGAACGAAAATAAGGACAACCTTTTGTGCAGATAACTTAGTAGTATCTTAATACAGACCTTCTGATTCATCACTATCACTTATATAACTCTATCCTACTGAAATAATAAGGTAAATGTGAAATAATATAGGCGCAAAGGTAGTCACTGAAGCACTATTTGTAAAAGTAAAAACCTAGAAACCTAAATCCCCATCAATAGCAGAAGGATTGTTTAAATGATGTAACTTTCACATTGAACATTATGCAGCCATGTGTAGATCCACATATATTCACCTGGAAAGAGATTCATGACATAAAGTGGAAAAAATGCAGAACTCTACTTATGAAATCATTTGGGGAAGGAGAGGAAGTGGAGAAGATAAGGCAGTGGGGGCAAAAACAACTGTGTAAACGTAGAAAACAAGTCTGTATGGTTGTGCAAAATAGTAATAGTTATAAGAATGTGAGGGTTATTTTAGAAAAATCCATGGCTGGGAACTGAGAGTGGAAAATTCCACAATGAAGATAGGTCTAGTGACTGACCGCCCTTGGTGTCTCTGCTGGTGTCTGTGCATCTGCTCTCTTCCATCTTTTCTGATCAGTCTCTTCTGCTTATTCATTATTTCTGTTCCATATTATTTGGCTCACACATGGCCCAACATGGAGACTCCTATCTCTTTGCTAGTCCCCGAATACATCAGAAGGTTGCCAAATTTGCAGAGGAATTTTGTAAAGAACAAATTGTATATACTGATTTTACTTGGCTTTATTTTTACCATTGGAAGAACAGTTTTTCAATTATTTAACAATAATTTACCAGTTATCATATTCAGAAAAAGCACAGGACATTTTGAGAAAATCAAGTTTAGTAGATTCATTTTCTTTAGATTTATTTTTAATTATAAAAATTCAAGTTAGGAGCTGTAAAACATGAACGGAAGACTGGTTTATTTGGTCGCTGAGGAAGAGATCAGTCTTACCAGAGGACCCTTAGGGCTGGGCTTCAATATCGTAGGTGGGACAGATCAGCAGTATGTCTCCAACGACAGTGGCATCTACGTCAGCCGCATCAAAGAAAATGGGGCTGCGGCCCTGGATGGGCGGCTCCAGGAGCGTGATAAGATCCTTTCAGTAAATGGCCAAGACCTAAAGAACCTGCTGTACCAGAATGCTGTAGACCTCTTTCGTAATGCAGGTTATGCTGTGTCTCTCAAAGTGCAGCATAGGTTACAGGTGCAGAATGGACCTATAGGACATCGAGGTGAAGGGGACCCAAGTGGTATTCTCATATTTATGGTGCTGGTGCCAGTGTTTGCCCTCACCATGGTAGCAGCCTGGGTTTTCATGAGATACCGGCAACAACTTTGAAAAACTTGCTCTCTTTCAGTACTCCCAATGAAGATACATTTCACTCACCCTCCATCCCTGCTATTCTGCCGTGTCTTTCACTCTCTGCATAGCCAGATTTGAAGTGACTGATACCCACCCCAAACCTTGCTGTTCAGAATCTCCAATTCTTCATATTCTAATGGGAAAGTAAAGGTATTATTTGAAGGAAAACTGAAGAAAAGACTTGCTTAGAACAAATGAGTTATATATTTTACTAGGACTTTTGATAGAAATTCAGCTACAACCCAAAGAGAGAAAGATTGAGTCTTCATGTCACCATAGGCAATATCATTTTTCTTAGCTGGCATGCCATAAAGACCAGCTGTGTGACATTAGAGGAAGAACGGATTTTTCTTTTTAATGATCTTCCTTGGGAAATTATTGTGGCCTTTATTTAATTTCTAATTACATACCTGGGTGCCTATATGAGACAAAGGAGAGTGAGAAGAGCATTTTTACCTTTTTAAAAAAGCAAATACATATATACACATACATATGTAAATATTATAGTATAATAGTGATACCTATGGAGAATTAAAGGTGAGAAAGCTAAAAAAAAAGAAATTCAAGTTAATTTTAGTTTTAATTCAAGTTGTAATTGATGCAATGTATGATAATGCAATGGTCTTAATTTTTTTTTCTTGTATAGGTTATGTTCATTTTTGAAGAGTCTTCTTTAAAAAAAAGTGACTACAATGGTTTTGAATTTTATTTTACATCCTTTGACTTTTATTCACCTTTGCCTATGCTGAAATTAAAAATGAAAAACTAGTGTGGTCATATTTGTTACAACCTTTCTAATAAAATAATTGTGTGTAAAAATAGATTAATGATTCCAACATTATTGGAGAAAAGGCTAATATGACAGTCACAAGGATAAAGGAAGGCGGCTTATTCAGACGACACATACTTGGAGACCTACTTCGTACACCCAGTCAACAGCCACAGGTATTTTTGAAGCTTTTCTCATGATGCGTGATGTAATTTTAACAGTATAACTAGTTTATAATATATTAAAGACCTGATAAAACAGGGGGATCGACTTCTGTATTTCATGAGAACATTTGTGTTTACATTGATCAACTTGATAATATTATTTTATGACTTTTGGAAAAATTATCTTCCTTATGACAAAATAGTAGATTTTTTAGCTCTACTATGCCAGAATTTGAAAATAGAGTCTTTCATTCAATCTTTACAGCAGTGCTGTAAAGATGAAGAAATTAAAGTGTAAAGAGATTAGGTGACTTTCCCAAGGGCAAGACTGAATGAAATATCAAAGTAGAAAAAATATAGACTAATTTCAGTAAACAAACAAGCAAATCAACAAAATTCCATCACTTTTGTTAAAAACCTATTCATATTCTACTGCTGCCTCTTTGCCTCTGTTCTCTGACTTCTTGTTTCTTTATTTGAAGGTTGAAGTCTATGTCAATGGAATTCCAGCTAAATGTTCAGGTGACTGTGGGTTTACATGGGATTCCGACATTACTCCCCTAGTCTTGGCGACAAGCCCTTCTCAAGGTAAGTTCCTGATTTTTAACCTATACTAGGGTGTGAAAGATAACCAGCAAAATGTAAACTCTGATAATGACTTCTAAAACTATGTTTATACTAGTGTCACTGTTATACTGTTAGCTAAAGCAAGCAAACAGTTCTACATTGTGAAAATTAAAAATCCTATTAGACAAAAAAGCTATGGAAAGGGCACTAATTATTTATTTTTGAAAAAAAACTATTTCTTTTGAAGCTGAAATCTTGCCTTTGAAGTAGAGGATTTGCTAATCTTAAACTTCTCTAGTTTCACCAGTTAGACTCAGTCTTTAAAATTTCACTTGGACACTGAGGCACTTTTGTTCAACTGTACTAGCTAGGGTATTAAGTGGAGTCTTTTATTCTATGAGACCACTTCCTCTAGGAGAGTTAGTATTAAAAGGCTAGTAACAAGACATCTGCTGTTTCATGAAAGAATGTGATCGTGTCCTAGATTTGACAATATGAGATATAAAAATTATTGCCAGGAACTCAATCTAAGGAACACATTATACCATTTCTTCATAACATGTTATTGCCTCAAAAATGTGATTATGCTTTGTGTCTGAGCAACTAAGGACTGAAATAAAACAGCAGGAATAAGGATAGTAAGGGATGGCTTTTTTTCAATCAGAACAATAAACTCAGACGCTATAGTTACATATTTAATCTTTATGGATAGTAGGAAAACTCACCAACTAATTTTATAGTGGTACCTCCCAAAAATTATTAAAATTTTAAAAATATTTCATTTTTATGTTGAAAGAATATATTTTTCAGACTTTTAAAAATAGTGATGATACTAACTTTGGGATAATTCAGATTACATGGGGTTAAAACTCTCAAGAATAAGGATTTAATGAACTTTAATTTGGTTATAGTCCTTTGGTATACTTATGTTTATATCCACTCTTGCATTTTATAATGAATTCCCAATTTTTTTTTTTTTTTTTTTTTTTTTTTTTGAGGCTGAGTCTTGCTCTGTCACCAGGCTGGAGTGCAGTGGTGCGATCTTGCCTCGCTGCAACCTCCACCTTCCGGTTTCATGCGATTCTCCTGCTCAGCCTCCCTAGTAGCTGGGACTGCAGGTGCCCACTACCATGCCTGGATAATTTTTGTATTTTTAGTAGAGACAGAGTTTTACCACGTTGGCCAGGATGGTTGAATTCCCACTTTTACGTGCACTTCCTGAAAAATGATTTCTTACCCAATATAGGAATCTGAATTGCCTTTTGCCACATTTGGATCATTTTTAAAATTGTGAAAATATAAGCATAAAGAAAACTACAAAAATACACATACTCTTCACTGAAAATTAACAGCTGTTAAAATTTTGTCATATTTACTTCCGATCAACAATTTAAGAAAGAAATATTATAGGAACAGCTAAATTTCTCTTTCAGCACCATCCCTAGACCTAGTCCCCTACATAATTCTTGAGGGGCAATCACAGTGATTAATTACTGTGTATGTATTCTTCCATGACACTTTAAATACCTTTTGTATATAGCACACACACATATATGGTCATTTTACCAGTTTTATAAGCTTACAAATGAAATATTACAATGTAAATATTATTTTGCATATTTCTTTTGTCATTCAGAATTCATTTTGAGATATATTTATGTGGTTTTATGTACACCTAACCCATCACGTTAAAGTATTTCATGAGTGCACCAACTTACCTAGTTCCTCTATTGATGGACATTTAGATTGTTTACAAGTTTTCACTTTTACCAATAAGACTATACTGAACTTTCTTGTACAAACCTCCTATTGCATATGTGTTAAAGCTACTTTAGGATATATACTGAGACATAGTATTATTGGATAACAACTGGTTGGATGAGTATTCAGTTTACAAGATGACCAAATTGCTCTTCCAAGTGGCTATACTACCAGCAAATATAATAGCAACATTATCCTCTATATCTTTGCCAATATTGGAAGTGATCGACTTCCTAATTTAAACTATTCCAATGGGTAAAAGTTATCACTTTTAAAACGTTTATTCTATTCCTTTATTAGTAATGCACATGAGCATCTTCTCATATGTTTCTTGGACATTCAGATTATCTTTTCTGCAAAGTGTTTAGCATCGTTTTTCCCTTTTTTATTGAATTCTCTTTTAAAATTTACTTGTAACCATTTACTATATTTTATGTTTACCAATCCTTTGCCCATGGCTTCTCTCAGTATATTGCCTGTGCTTTGGTTTAGCTCTTGTTTATGAAAACATTTAAGTCACTTATTTATTCTAGTTTATTTATTTATTCCATTATGGTCAATCCCATGGCTTCATGTATCATATTTAAGAAATCCATCTCTATCCCAAAGTCATCAAGATATTTGGTTATATTTACTTCTAAAAATTTGAGTTTTATTTTTTGTTCTTAGCTATTTAAATCTATGTAGAGTCTATATTGTGCATGGTGTTACATAAGTAGGGTGATCATGTATGTATTACATATATGATTTGTTAAAGATAGATACGTAATATCTATCTATCTAATCTATCTATAATTTGTTGATCAAACCTGGACACTTTTAAGAGGGAATGGAAAAATCTTAAGTTTAAGACGCTGGAACACAGGTGTAAACCAGAACTGTCCCAGGCATTTTGGGATGTATATCACCCTAAACAGAGGACAGAGGAATCTTATTTTCTTTTCAAACGGGAAGTGTCCATACCACTAATTGTGTGATTTATCCTTTCCTCATAAATTTGCAATGGCAAGTCTGTCATATACTAAGTTACCATATAGAGATGTCTACTTAATTTCTTTATTATGAGAATAATTTGTTTATTTATCTTATGCCATGTTTTCAGTCAGATAATTCTTTCCACTAGTCTCTGTCAACACACAGATTCAAAATATGAACATACGTAGAATAATTCAATGGAAATAATGGAAATAAAATACCACGGATAAATACATGTGGATTTTTCTCCCTGCTTGCCTATTCGGCTTACTGTTTATATCTTTTGAAGATAGACTTATTTTTATCTGAGAAATGTCTGATTTCATAATAACAGATATTAATATTGTTATTTAAATTGATCATTTTTAGGGTCCTATGAAGAAGGCACAATTCTAACCATAGTGGGTTCTGGATTTTCTCCTAGTTCAGCTGTATCAGTCTCAGTTGGACCAGTAGGTTGTTCTCTTCTTTCTGTGGATGGTAGGTCCTTATAAAAACTGTTAAGTCTAATTGTTCTTATCTAAGATAAAGTGGAATCAAAGAGCAGTATTACAATTATTTGATCATGTACAATTATCATGATCCATTATTACAATTATCATGATCCCTATGGGGTTATGAAATTGGCAACCTGATCTATATAATGCCTTATCTTTTAAATCTTTGATTATGACCACAGACTATTTCACTGTTGTACAGTGTCTTTATCCTATAATAGTTTAATTTTATCCTTTTTTCCCCTTCATTTGGAGGTTACATGAAATCTTTTTTGCATCAGTGTGTCTCTGGGATGCAAAAATGTATGAAATGCTTCTCTAGTGTTCCATGGTCCTGTCTGCCCACGTTTTGACAATGCCATGCAGGAAGAGGACGTGGCCAAGCTGGTCTCGAACTCCTGACCTCACATGATCCACCCGCTTCAGCCTTCTAAAGTGCTGGCATTACAGTCATGAGCCCCCGCACCTGCCCTTCATTTAGTTTTTGATCATCTTTCCTGATAAAACCTGGTATTTTGCACAATTTTGGACATAATATATCTGACCAAAAATTTTAGAATTATTAATATAAATGAGCTTAATAAATTAGCTTTTAAAAAAATTATGACAGTAGCCTGTTTTGGGTACAGTAGCATCGGAAATAGATTGTTTACTTTGCTTTCATTCTTGGTTTACCTATTTTCTAGGAGTGTCTGATTCATAGCCTCAGGTAGTTTGCAAGGATTATTCCTCTTAAGATTCCCCCACCCATTAATACATGATTCGTTTTCTTTGGATATACTTCTTGAGATGTAAAAATGAAGGCCAATGTTAGTATTTTGCAAGCATAACTTTTATCTCATAAAACCATTTGATTTACCATTTTCTTCATCTTTTTCTTTTTTTCACAAGAAAAAGAGATCAAGTGCCAGATTCTGAATGGAAGTGCTGGACATGCCCCAGTTGCTGTGTCCGTAGCTGATGTTGGACTAGCACAGAATGTAGGGGGTGAACAGTTCTACTTTGTTTATCAGAGTCAGATCTCACATATCTGGCCTGATTCTGGAAGCATAGCAGGTAATGGTTAATGGTTTAAACAGAAAGAAAATTGCATGCATTTCCATCAGTTCAATGTGCTCTTTCTAGTACAGGGTGAAGGGAGAGGAGCCCAAAGCTTCCTCCTATAGAACAAAGGAGTGTCTCCTTTGAGAAGGCCCAGTGATTAAATGGCCGACTAATTCTTTTGTTTCTTACAAAGCACAAGTCGGGGTGCTGCTTATACTTACATCTTAGGTTATTGAATTAATATCATCAATTATTACATGTTTCTATAACAAGCACATCAATTATGTCAAGATAAGATTTATTAGTTATTATTCTGCTTACCAGCTGCTTCATTTGTAACCACAGTCTCAGTGGAGCTCCTTGACCCAGAAAAAGTTCTGGGAACAAACTGGGGAAAGGAGGGCTAACACAGAGGATGGAAAGAACATAACACATTTTTCCTGTCCTGCTTCATTTCCTTTGTACGTTTGTTTTTTTACCAGGCATAGTTTACGGTTTTGTGCTTTGGTTTTGATCCTTTTAGTATGCTTTTATTTTACATTATTTCATCGCTTATTTTTAAAGTTTAGTTTTCCTTTTACTTAGAAATATTAAAATTTGAGATTTGGCGAGAATCTTAATTCACTCTCCTCTTCCACCCACAGAATGGTTGAGTGAATAGAAGCAGCATACATTTTTGTAGGATGAAGGCACTGGGAAAAATAGCAGATGCTGCTGCCAATGCCCCAAAGCAAATGTGTGTTGCAAATCTATGTTATTCCATTAAATCACTTAGCCCAGCTCCTTTATGGTTCCGAGCATCAGCACCCAGGCTCAGGTGTGTGGTGGTGATTGTGCTCATCTCAAGTCTGGTCCTTGATCTATTGGCCAGTCCATCTCTTGGATAATTAGACAATTCTCTAATGAGTTAGCTCTTATTAACATTTCTTTTTGTTATAGTTGAACTGGTTTTGTTGTTGTTTTTGTTTGCTTTTCTTATGAAGGTGGTACGCTACTGACTTTATCTGGATTTGGCTTTAATGAAAATTCAAAGGTATTAGTTGGAAATGAAACCTGCAATGTGATTGAAGGGGATTTGAATAGGATAACCTGCAGGACACCAAAAGTAAGACCTCTGGTTTCAGTCATTTTTTCCTAAGTCTGAAATATTATAAATGAGGAGACATCTCAGTTTGGGGAGTGGAGTGGTGAAACCAGTGGTGTATTTACATAGAAACTGCAGGGTTTCTATTATGCTCCTTAAAACTTCTTTCTTCCACATCTTTCCACTAAGATTAAAAGACAAAATATTATCTCCACATTCAACATACTTAAAATCATGAAGAAAAGAGACACATAAGCTAATATTAAACAATGTATTTCATTTGAATTAATAGAAGTAGTAACAAAGTAAACATAAAACACAGTGGAGAGAGGGTGTCAGAAACAGTTTCACAGAAAAGTTGATGTCTCATCAGAATTTGAGGATGAATGAGAGTTTACCACGTAAATTTAAGGATGAAAAAAATTAGTAGTCTAAAGATTTCAGGAAAGTAAATCTAGAAATTAA